TACAAATATTTTACTCCTTGTTTCTTTTTAAGTAATATTTATGTAATAAAAATAAGGTAGTTCCTTTTTTTTAAATTGCATTGAAATGTTTGAATTGTGCTTTTGAAAATTGTCTTAAGTTTTTTTTTTTGAAATATATGTATGTAATCAATATTTTAAGGATAAGGCCTAAGAATGATGTGTGAAGAATAATATGATAGAATCAATAAATATCTGATATTTTCATTGGATAGTTTCATTTCGACGTTTGATATGTGAGACAACAACTTTTACTTAAAGATATTTTGTTAAAGTATTGTATTGTTATAAACAATTTCTATACTATTTTTGTTCAAAGAACATGAAATGTTTTCATCTGTTCGTTAGTCAATAAATGACTTAATATTTACGATGTATAGTATTTGTGTTTTGTTTGCATTTTCTCGTGAGTCAGATGATGATGTGCGTGATTTTGTAAGAGATCGTGTTGCGCCCATCTCTACACGGTACTTTATTTCTCGCCCCTTGCCGCCGCCCCTTACCGTTAACCACACAGATGGCACCCAGCAACAGGTAAAAAACGAAGAAGAAGACTACGGCAGCGACCATTAAATACAAAAAAAAAAAAAACACACACACACACACACAACAAAACCAGCAATTCGAACCAAAAAGCAAGTTGTTGACGACGGCAACGATCGTTTGCGGCTGCTTATGCGGCTTTAGGGAACCGGTTTCCTCTTACTGCCTTGCATATTTTTAGCAACAAGTTGAAAGAGTTGACTGGCTGAGGCAGCAGCACCGCATGGAAGACAAAGGAACAACAACAACAACAGCTCAGACATGGACAGAATGATAATGAAAATGCGAAGAAGCGAGTGTGAGAGTGGTTGTCTGTGTGTGTGTGTGTGTGTGTGTGTGTATGTGGTTTGGAGCTCTTGGAAGCGGCTCGGGGAAAGGTTATGGCTATGGAAGTTGCATTCGTTTGCTTGTAACAAAACTGTTTTAATACCCAAAGAAACTTAAGCGAGCGCAGAATCGTCATCTTCAAGCACATTATCATCTTTCTTTTCAACTTCAGCTTCATCATCATCATCGTCGTCTTCGTCGTCGTCGTCATCAACCACGGCTAGTGGCACAGGAGTGGCACGCAAAGCGAGCTGAAGAAACAGAAAACAGAATCGCGTCATCGTCGCCGGCATTGCTGCAAAACAATTGCAGGCCATTGTTGTTATTATTATTGTTGTTGTCCCGGTAGTGACGACAATGCGCCATCCAAAACACAATATTTTTATTGGTTTATGTGCCCATAACTAATGCGCTTTCTGTATGTACGTACATACATATGTATGTATATGGGTAATTCAGAAAATTATAAATAAAACACAGGCACTGCAATGTTATATCCTGTATTCTCTGCTTTTTAAGATTATTAAGCTACACATTTAGGAGATCCACTGATATCACTTTTTTATAACAGCTTAGGGCTGATATTGAATAACTGAAGCCGAACTTAAAACTTTGAATTCCTCCTGAGCAGAGAGCAAAAAAAATTACAGAAGCTATCCTCCTGAAGATTTGTAGAGCTCTGTTTGCTAAATATGAAGTCTCCAAGACAAAGTCAGATCAACTTTTTTTAAATCTTAACTAATTAGGCACATACATATGTACTTCCTAAAGACAAATATGCGGAAATGAAATTTTGTTCAATAATAATTATTTTTATTATTATTTGTTGTAATGCCTTATGAAGAAATATTCCCATCCGAAAAAGACTACACAGCTCAGGCAAGCGGTTTCGGGGAAGCAACATCTTTTTGGCTAAGCTCTGCAACAGAACCATTCTCTGTTGAGATTTTCTCCGCTTTATACTTAAAATTATAGAAGTTCCATACTTTCAAAGCTGTTCAAAAAAACCACATAAATACGAGTACATGTCTGCATACATAACATACAGTTTGCGTAAAGATCTAATGGTATGTTAATTATATATTGTTTATATATCATAGAGTTCGAAGGACACGAGTTTTAACATTTCTTTTTTGCCTGATCAAAGAAAATGTAAAGTTAGAAAAGTTAAAATAAAAATAAATAGAAATAGAACAGTTCAAGCTGAACGTAGTTAGTTTGTTTTTATATGCATTGTAGTTCATATGTACATACAGGTTGTGTCGATCAGTCAATTACGTTTGACAGTATGAACCCCTTTATCTTGGCTGTTATAATTGCTAGAAGCTTCAAAATTGACATTAGCAGATTGAAGATGTGTTTGCAGAATGTGTTTGTTGTAGATATCGCGTATGTCCACTATATCCATAAGGATAGTCGATGTAGAGAGTATACATATATACTTTTTTATTTTAAATTTGTGTCATTCTCTTGTTCATAGTTTTCCAATACACGTTGTTTTTGTAGTTCTCATTTTATTAGTTAGTACTGATCAGAGTTTGTTGATCAGTCATATGGGTTTGACAGTATGAACCCCTTTTTCTTGGCTGCTATATTTGGTAGAAACCTAATGTTGGCATCAGCATTATTGTGATGTATTTGCAAACTAAGCTTGTATAACTATGTACATATATCTACTATAGCTATGGGAACAATCGATGAAGAGAATAGCTTGGAGCTGTTACGACATTTTTTATATTCGAAATTGCTGTAATTTATTCATATGGATGTCTTAGAGGTCTTAGAGATAGCAGCGCATTTGTTAGCCGCGTCTGCTTCCACATGCTTGTTATGTACATGCATACATACATACATACATACAAGTATATCTTTATTTGTTTTCTTGCATTTTGTTACATTTGCTTTGTCATTCATATTTTCTGTTGTTTATTGTTGTTTAAATAACAGCGCCAGACTATGACTCGTTTGGCCCCACACCTCTCCCTAACGAGCAGCCCCCTCTCCCCCACACCCCCCTTCCCAGTACGCCACGACAACAACAAAGCAGCAGATGCGGAGGGGCTGAAGCGCCCGCAAGTTGCTCATCGTCCATTCACACAATGGCATTTTGACCCTGACTTTCAATATGTATGTATGTACGACACTCGGCCATGTGCTGAGTTATTATAATTATGTATACATACATATGTATGTAATAAGTGTGCATGAGCGTGTGTGTGTGTGAAGCATGATTAATTGACCAGCAGGCTGTGCGGGAAATTTATATTTATATGGCTCTGAAACTGGAGCGAAGGCAACTGGAAACTAGAAATTGGAAACTGAGAACAGAAAACAGAAATTTGCATGCCACTTGCCTCAGTCTTATCATTAGTGCCCAGTCTGAGCGACACAGTATTGGTAATCGTAGTGCTGTCGTGAGAAAGGCTCTATTTACAAAATGCTCCAACCCACGCGCAATCGGTTTGTTTTGCTTTTCTGTTCAGCCCAGTCGGGGGATATCGCATTTCGTCCGACTTGACTTTGACAGTTCGGATAAAATATAATGGACCGCGTCGTCTCCACTCAGAGCAGCGGTTAAGCAGAGTTAATCTCCTATACTATATATACATACATACATAAGTAGTTAGTTGCCATGGTAGTTCTGATCAAGCTTCAGAGCAGTCATAGGACCGACCAAATACTCTGCATCAAAAGGATGAACGAGCTTAGTTGGACGCAATCTTTCTGGAGCTATAATCATCAAAAATTTATTTCTAAGCACAAAATTATTTCAATTTACATTTATTTTATTTATTTAAGCAGCATAGTTTCGATAATACGGACAATTAGTGTCCGAAATACTGAAAATATAAATATTCGGATTTTTTCTAAACAAAAGGTTAAATTTCAGTTCAGTTTCTCACGTTCTGAAATAGAAGACGAAACTGAGGTGACAAAAAGGGAAATGGATATCCGAGTGTTACTGCCGAGATAGCACTCTATTTAGAATTAAAGAAAAATAAAGAATGAAGTTAATTGGGGGGATTGTAGAAGGGTTCGAAACCGAAGGCCCATTCATCAGTTTCGCTTAGGGTTTTCTTTGTGAATGATCGGCCATAAAATTGTTGAAATATATGTAGAGCCATCGATAGTTTTAAATTTGTAAGAAAAACTGTTCATACATGCTTGTCGACACTGTTATTGATTCTTATATTAGTAATATTATATATGTAGTTTTAAAATTTGTAGGTAAACTATTAATATTATAGCAACGTCTATTGGTCCATGGAAAACTCAGTGCCCACTAAACATAAAGTAATAGTAATTAAGTAATAAATTGTAGAAATTAAGTAATAAATTAGCTAACAAAACATCACGTTTAACTTTTTTTAATTTTGTTTATATATATTTGAAATCAAATTAAAAAAAAAGGCATCAACAACGATAGCTTTTCCAGAATTTGAAACGCGCCTCAAATGACATAGTCGAGACACAAACCATGCATATTTGCTGCAGCTACAAAGTATGCAGCACTTTCAACGAGAAAATGTTAAGTTTGAACTTGTTAGGAATTTTTCTGCAGCCACAAAGTATGCAGCACAGTCAACTAACAGCGTCTTTCGACGACATAATGTTAAGTTTTATACTGTTATGGAATTTCGTTAAAGCCACAAAGTTTACAGCTAAATAACAGCGTCTTTCAACGAGAAAATGTTAAGTTTTATACAAACAGAAGAGAGGGCAGAAAGCGTTAAGTCGCACTGTTATGATTTTGATTTGAATAAAGAATTGTCGCATTAACTCACAGAATACGAAAATGAACAAACCATATCTTTAAACGATGCTTGAAGCTGCCACATAATTCCTATCACTTATCTATAAAACAAGTTATTTACAACAGTGAATTCCACACGGAAGGGTCAAAATTTTCAAAAAAAAGAATCACAAAACATGTGGAAAGAAGCCATAGTTTCTAAGCCATATGAAGTTTGAAAATTCGGTCCAACATTACAAAAAAAAAAAAAAACAATTATAACAACGAAGCAACAGAAAGTTACGAACTCCTTAAACTAACTGTGGAACCTTCAATAGCCAATATATCTGATTCTAGAATGTATAAATACTGATACCGATTCAGTTGATCATATTTTCGGTTCAAATAATGTTTTAATGTCTTAGTTCCTCTCTCTATGATCTAAAAAGTACGTATATCTGTATTAAAAAAATACAAAAAAAAAAAAAACAGAAACAAAAAATCGTATTCGATGTATTATTGTCCACAGAAGGCGATCCTTTTACGCATTACGCACACCACGCAGCTCCTTGTCGGCCTTCTTGAGGGTCACGAAATTGTTGAGCTGCTTGACACGCAATTTAGACCAAATCATAAAGTTGTTGAGTCCCAGAATCTGTGCCGCATGCAGAGCTGCCGACTCAGGATATAGGACTGTGGCACAGCCGAGGCCGGAGGGGACATTCAAACTGGACCAGACATCGACCTGCATGTTGTCCGATTTGACGGGCGGACAGTTGATAACCGGATATGTAGTGCTGCCCGATAATACCAGACCCAGGCCATTGGAGCGACCAGCAACAGCCACAAATATGAGATTGTTGAGCACAGACTCGTATTCGCGGACAATGCGCAGCGTCTCTTCTGGTCCCTTGTGGGCGGATGACACACGAAGCTCGACATTCAGTCCCAGTGAACGGCAACTGGTGGCAATTTTCTCGCTGTGCGACACATCGGAGGCACTGCCCATAAGCACAACGACCAGATGATCCTTGCGTGGCAAAATGTCGGCAAATTGATCGGCGACCCAAATAAAATTACGCTTCACTGTGTCCAAATCGGAGGCGCTGACGGCGGTCAGATTACGATAGACCTGCTTGTCCACCATCAGACGCTTATCACCAGCCGGCCAAAGACGCCACGAGTCCGAATCTATGATGTCTGCTAGCAATATATTGCCATCGGCATCGACCCCGAATTCCACCTTCATGTCGATAAGGGCACAGTTTTTGGTCTGCCAGGCCCGTTCAAGGATCTCGAAGACGAGCAGTGTGGTGCGACGCATAATGTCCAGTTCGTCCTGGCCTGAAAGCGATGGCAAGTCAGAGCTGGTTGGGAATCGTTACGATAACGGCTTACCTATTAGGAGGCCATTGAGTTGAAATTTAGCTGCAAGTATTTGCTCATCGCTCCATTGTGGATCGTGATTGGCATCGTCTTTATAGAATGTCTCCTGCTTGGGCGGTGAGAATCTTTCGGAGGCAGAGAGAGAGGGAGAGCATTGAGAATACAAGTCAATGGAAGTCAGCAACTTTATCAGTTGCTGACCTTGCCAGAGCGCATCAAATGCATCTTAATTTGTTGTTTACCACAGCAACTGCAGTCGGGGATCGTGTAAAATAATAATCGGCGCTTCGGCCACTGACAGTTCAGTTCCATGTGTTATTGATAATACCAACAAACAACAAATAACGTCAGATAACCCCCGCGGCACCTGCTGCGCGTGTTACTTACTAACCTGTAGCCCTCGGGTACGCCGGCGTTGCGTTTCAAGAACGAACCGGTCGCCAGCCGTCTGGTTACCCACTCAATGGGTATCATTTCACATTTGCGAGCTATGAACGCCTTGGCACCACACTGCTTCACATAGGCGGTACGCACACCTACATAGAAGATACACAAAACAGAGATCATTCAGTTGTTGGTTTCGTCTAAACGAAGTTTCACGAAGTTCACATACCCTAGCCCATCTACCTAAGAATATCAATTGAAGGGATGCGAATGCAGCTGATATTTCTTCAAATCGGAACTAGACTTTTGTAGCACATCTTTGGGTCCAGCCCCTTCTTTATAACGTCTACAAAAATATAGCCTTTTCTTATCTTAGATCTAAAGATTAGAGATTTTGAATGAAGATCTAAGCTTTAGTTGCCTACCTTTCGCCTAACTCTTCTTTATAACATTCAAATAAGGCTGTGCTTGTATAAGCTTATATTCAGAAATAGTCTCCCTTTTTTTTATAGCATACCCCGAAACTTACAATTAACGCCTAACAATGTCATATGTTTATAAATATATTTGAGATAACAAATTGTAGACTAGACTTTTTTTTTTAACTCTTACATATTACTTAGTATAACGTTGGTTGGTTCAGAAATAAATATAGTATGTATTTCTTATATAAGGTTTTGTGGGAGTTCCAATAACAAATATATTCCGATTTAATAAACATTTCATTTTATCATTCTATATCTACATGTTCCTGAGACTACATTGTAATGCTGGTTATAGGGATGGACTAAACTTGGATTCAATTGCTAACTTACTGAAGTATTGAGCATGACCTTGTAATATAGTATATTTATATTCATGGCATATTCTATTTATTTAACTCAGCTGAGATGCAGTTATCTTGCATACTCTTGAAACTGTTCAACAAACACTTTTTCAAGATAAAAGACCCATCATAGCTGAAATTAATACTCGATTAATTGAATTCCATTCCAAGACTATACTTTATTTCATTAATTACAGAAGTTTCCTTTTATGATAATCCACCTTTTTTAAATCGCATACCAATGCCTTATCGGAAAAAAGCACGATTCTTAAACTCTCTCCACTTATTTTCAAGATTCGAACTAATTGAAGCACAATTTTAGAAGTGCAACCAAGTGGTAATCATTGTTTACTTTCTAGAAAAGCTTTTCAGATAGTTTGACAGCTGAATGGGTCTGGTAGGCCCAAAATTCCTACAATGTCTTAAACAGCATTACACTTAGTCTGAGGCCGATGCTGTTGCCGCTGCATTCCTCTATTGAATCTGTCCCGCCCCCTTTTTGGTACTCACCCGCTTCGTTCAAGAGACGAAAGACGAGGCCATTGGTGGTATTGGAAATTTTTGCCTTGCCCTCCAAATCGTGCGCCTTAACACCATCGCCGGCGGTAATGCGATCCTTGCTGAGCAGCAAACAGAGGCCGGGGTGTTCGGGCAGGTCGTAAACCTGCTTGGTTTTACCTTCGATCGTAACTTCGCCCAATTTGTAGCCCTCAACTGTGCGGGGATAGCATGAAATGGGAGAATGGGGTGGGAAGATGGTACATTTTCCAATATTCTGTTGTTTTTATTATTGTTGCACTTACTCGATGTAGCCATTGTGTTTGTTTTAATTTGCTTTTTCGTTAACTTTTATGGATTTGTGCTTAAAATCAAACACGTGTTCGGCTTTGTGCTCACAATTCGCGTGTCTGCGCCAAAGTCTCGTTCGAAGCCGTCTGCGAACGTCGAGCGGAGTTCGCGACTCTTTATGTTTCTTTCGGTTGTGCTCGGTTGCTCAGAACTGGTTTCTTATCGCTCAACACAAATATTCACACACACACACACACAGCACTCGTGTTGGCGATGGTATACAGATTTCTAGGTATCGCCGTTATTGCTCCCCAAACCCAAACCATTGAATGTTGAATTCAAACGAACAAAGTATTTGAGCAGAATTTGTTGGCTCATCAATTATAGATCTACTTTCGTTGTGATTTGTTCGTTTGTAAGCTCAAAGAAACAATTCATTGACTAATTTAATTGCAGTAAAAAACAAATTGATTTAATTGTTCCCAAACGAAATGAACGAGTGATCAATATAAGCGAGTAGATCTAACGACAGACAATTCAAACGTGAGCCACTGAACTAATTCCGCAAACCAGAACTAGAATGGCCCGCCCTATTGCGTAACATATTCTAGTGGCGTTCCCGTAACTGATTTTGATGAAAACATTAACAATACACATTTAACAGTTGATCAACAAAGCCGCATAAATTTGTTACTTTGGGTTGTAAAATAAATTAAACTAATGAGGTAGCGAAATCATTATTTATCTAAAAATAAACATTTTTTTAACAAATAATAAAACTATTCAATATTTTTGTTTGCAAATTTTTTAAAATTATTTTGAATTAATTTTATTAAGCTGTCCTAACGTATTGAATGATTTGATTTTTTAACGCATTATTTCTTTAATATTTAATGTATTTGAAAACTATTTTTTAAGTTTGTTTTTAATTTGAAGTTTTTGAGTTCGAATTGCTTTAGATTGGATTATTAAAACCCGCTTTTTCACATTGTTGACCTTATAAATAAATTTCAAAATTCATATAGGTACATAAAAAACAACACATAAAATGTGCTTAAAATATATTAATTTTTTAATCGTAGACATATTTTAAGCAAATTAAAGAGAATAGAACAGTGTTTTCTAAGTTATTTATGAAGAGAAATGTGAAGAGGGTTATTTTGTAAAAAACATTTGAGAACAAATAAAACAAAGAATATTTAAATAGTAAACAATATAAAAAAATAAAACTCTCTAAAACCCATATACATCTGTATTTATTAAAAGCAAACACTTTAAATAAGAAACAGTACACAATTACTGAGAGTTGTAAAGCGAAGCATTTCTGTTCTACAATTCGTGACGTAGCTGTGCAACGAGGGCGAGCAAAGAGTGCTCTCTGATTGGCGATAACTAAACTATATTTGTACCATATGTGTGTGTGAAAGCATAGCAACGAGTTGGGAGCAAACGAACCAGCGACTGGGCAGCAGGAAAGCGCGTCACCAATTTCATGTAAACAAAAATATTTTTGTTATTACATTTTTTTGTTAGCATGTACAATATCCGCAATTGGAACGCTGCATTTGGAGGGGAACAGAGACAAAGGATGTGTTTTTATTGCAAAATAGAGAAGCCAATTGTAAAATAAATGTTTAAAGATGTCCAACTGGTTTTCTATTCCAAATTGTTTGACATCACGAAATCTATTCTATACGACTGGAATTCGGTTGAAATATGAAAAGCAAGAATTAAAAATTAAAGATTTCGGTTCCAGCTAATATGTTAATAAGTATATTTGTAAATGCAATAATTTCAAACAATAAAAAGTACTTTAAAAAACCAACTCCAGTAGCCATATTGTTCAAACACTCTACTGCCAACCTATTGCTCTTAGAATTGTTAAAAAGTACGATTACCATTTTTCCATATTTCAATTAATTTGTACAAAAAGTGCGATTGATCCCCGAAGCTATGGGGTCTTCTATGCATTCTAGTTTTAATACAAAATATTTCACATTATTTCGATTGGTCTTTGATCGTTGCGTGAGGATTCAATTTCAAGTTTAAGGTGCATAATAAACTGGAAGAATGTTCTTCAATGCTTTTACAATTACTGACAGAATTATGACTGCATTTAAGAATGGGTAAGAGGCTGGTTGTGCTTTCTCTTTTGAATATTCAAAGAGTTATACAAAGGGCAGGCAAAGATAATGAAGTCTGTTTTCTTAGTCCCCACAACTACTGCAGTGTATAATCTGAAGAAAAGAGAATATTATTGCATAAGGAAAAGGGTGAGGGCGAGGTTCATTACCTGGCTGATTTATTTAAGATCAACCACTCAGTCACTTGTGCCTATTAAATTATTTCATGATGGAGCACTCATTAATCAGACGCTGTTCCTAGTCCCTAAAATACTGCTTGCTATTCCATTCCACTGCGTGTAACCGTTTTTAACATTAAATGTTATTTCACTGGCACAAAATACAAGAATATTGACATGCATACTGAAATAGAGTAAGTATGTTCATCTATCCAGCTGAATTTAAATTGTTTATCAAAATCTATCATTATTACGATTTAAGTTCAACAACAAACAAAACAAGCTAGAAAGCCGGTAACAGCTGTTTGCATATATTTGGTGTGGTATCACTGTATCGATATTTAGCCACTAAACATCGAAATTATTCGATGGGTACACATTGTAAGTAGCGTTGATTTCCATTTAAATTTCCATTAGCTTTCCTGCTGGCGCTTTTTATTAAGTTGTCTATTCTAGCAAATCCATTTATAGGCATTTTTATTTTTCCGTAATTTGTACAATTCATTAAATTTTGATAAACTTAAAGGTAAGTTTAGACATTTACTAGTAATTTTAAAATATTTTTAAACGAAAGCATCTTTTCGCTTACATTTTAACATTGTGGTGTGCCATGATGCGGCGAGTATATTAAAAAGTAAAGTTTTGTTTTAATCTCACACTCCAATCGTTTTCGAATTGTGCGCCTTCATATTTAGCTCAGACAACAACCAATTCGGCAAAAGTGCAACACTTGCCCATTGTTATCGTTAGCTTGATAGATAAACGGATGGTATTGCAAATGTATACACCGATTTTAGTTAAAGCATGTGGTCACACTGCAACTGTAGCTGATTGTGTCGCGGTCGCTGCTGGGCGCCGGTAACGGAAATTCACGAATAATTTTTTTTTCGCGCTGTACGTGTTTAAACGGCGTCCGTCGCACGCCACTGCATCAGAACAAAGCAATAGTAAAGGTAATCCCTTTTATTGCAATAGCGAATATAAAGCTAAGCTGTTTAAGTTATTGCACTTTTTTGTGGAAAAAAATTTTCGGCAGGCTTGTTGTTATTATTTGTGTGGCTGCGCGTGTATGTGGGTTGTCTGTGTTTGTGTGTCGGCGACGCCACCAATTGTATTATATTAAAAATAGTTTATTTAATTGTGTGAGCGGTGACGCGATGTTAACGTTGCAACGATGTCGGCAGAAAAAAAACGCAAGGAGAAAAAGGCTATAGCATGACAACAAACACACGCAATTAAGAACAAACAGCAGGCGAAGGCAATACAAAAACTAAAGCCTACAGAAACGCAAACAGCTTGGGACGGGCATAGCGAAGCACAACAACAACCACAACAACGACAAGAACTTTAAAGCAAGAGCAGCCGCTAAAGTTGCACTGAAAACAAAAAAGAAGGAAAGAAAGAAAATTGCCAATTTATGCATTCACATTTCTCTGCTGCTGCTGTATATTGTCTCGTTTTATCTCTGTCACATATTTTTGTTCTTGCTGCCGCCATACGTTTTGTGCATTTTTGCGCTTTGCTACCCTCTTCTTGTTTGCCACCCACCCTCGTACGTGTCTCGCGCGCTCAGCTGAAATTTTCGACCTACCCTGTCGGCTGTTCTTCACATCAGCCGCACTGTTCTTCTGTTTTGTTGTTGTTGCTGTTTATGCTGCTGCTTCTGCTGTCTGCCAAATGTCATTTTAGTGCATGACATACATATACATACATACATACATACACACATACACCCATACACAGATATGGACATGCAACTGTATATGTATGTATGTATGTAAGCTACTGGCCATCGAAAGCGCCTTAAACTGTAGATATGCAAAATTCATTAATAATATACTATGTACCGCAGCTCAAAACCCTTATTGCATTTTAATGTGCAACGACTTTGCGTGCCAAAGCCTTCAACATTATTAATCGAAAGTTAAGAATGAATAATTTAACTAGACTGCCAGCTTTTTAAACGGAAATGCTAATAAAAACGGCATTGTTTTGATATAATGCCAAAAGTATTAATTAATAATATAATATATTATAATTAATAATATTATTAATAAGTACACTTTAAGACTTAACCTTCTTAATTGATTAAATGATTAAATTGTGATTATAATTGCTTAATTTATTCATGCACACTGCTTTAACAACAGACTTGTATTATAAATGAAATATGAGAAGGTCGAGCCACTTCCGTTTAATACAGAAATATGAACTTTGTTGTGGTAGTAGATAAAACTTTTTGAACAACACATAGATAAATAATTGTCATCGATATAGAAATTATATGTTAGGTTCAATGACGATTCTATATCTACAAATAATACGCCTGGATAGTATATTAGGAACAGCAAATGCTTAAAGTTGGCGAGAACATGAAGCTTAAGCTTGGGTGATAAATATAGGGAAAACAAATATTGAAAAACATATTAAGTGTATGCTGGATATACCCAAGATCTAACACAAACTCTTCCAGTCAAAGATGAATGTCTCTAACTCTTATATTCGTAAAGATGAAGACGTTCATATAGACAAATAGTTGGGCATATAGAAATCGACTGAGGTATAGGAATATTCAATAGTGTTGCTAACTCTTCAGCATTGAACATAACTATATCAGCAACTAAAGGAAACTAACATTCCAGCACAGAAACTAGGTTGTTGTAAGAAAGTAATTCTGGAGGGCTTTTAAACTTATGGCCATAACATACACACAAGCACATTCCTGAGGCTGCCGTTCTAGTCTCTTCGTGTGGGCCTCAAGGTGGTATCTTTCGTTGCAATTTTAAAAAAGCATCATAGATGTACGATGTACAGAATAATAATCACAATGCCATGGTTGATTAGATCGCCTTGAATTTGTAAGCCGATGTGATATACCTATATACCCATTTCGATCTAATTTCTTTTACTCTTCCAATGTATAATTATTGCGATAGTAGAAATTGCTGTTATAGAAACGATCAGGCTTTTTTGGATAAAAGGCAACTCGTTGATAAAACCAATGCTTACAAAGTTTCAATCGGAATGTTAAAATATTATTAAAAGGCGATTAATTACATTTGAAAGGGTATATAGCCAGTGTACTTGTATTTAAATTAAAAATATGTCGTATGAGGTCTCGAAATAATAAACAAAAGTCTAACGACCTTCAACTGTCGCTTATTTTCTCTTTATAGCTGTGTTTGAACTAACATTCAGAAGCAGCAGTTATAGCAGATACTCAGAGAAGAGATTTCCGACTATAGTCGCTTTCAAGCTGCATCTGCTGCAGTCGCTGACATTGACGTCGACGTCGCTGCCTTCTTTGACGACGCTGTCGTTAATCGTCGCCGCTGTAGCAGAAGGGAGGAAGCCTCAAAACAACAGAGGCCCGGAAGGCCGCATAATAATATTTGCATATTATTCTCATAATGACTTCGTACATCGAACTGCTGGGATTGTTTGTGCTGCTTATGTTGCCGTTCCTGTACGAGACAAATCACATATTCAGATACTATTTCAAATTTCTGATCTACTATGGCGTCGTGTCCTTCAACTCGATCGTCCTTATACCGGCCTTTCTGACACGACCCTGCGATGTCCGCAATCTGCTGTAAGTACTCAAAGCTCATTATAATAATAATAATGATTATTGTTCAAACAAAATACAATATCTCGATTATAAATCGCATTGACGCACTTGAGCAATCAGTATATATAGACCGCCATATAGAGGTAGTTATCCAATTTGGCGTATCTAAGTCATAATCAATAACCATTAAATGATTACAGTCTGTGCTTTGTTTTCTCTTTTCGTAGTGCTCGAGAAATCGATAAGAATCGTTGGGGGCTGCACTTGTTGTTGCTGCCACATGCGATAATTTGCGGTCATGCCACAATTAAATGCGCGAATTAATTATAGTTGTACAAACTACACCGTAGCCCTAGTTAGTCCCCATTGAGGTAACCTTAATGTGCCCCCAAAGAATTGTTCAGGCAGCTGAAACCAGTATCTCAACTACCACTACTACTACTACTACTACTACTACTACTACTACTACTACTACTACTACTACTACTACTATTACTATTACTACTACTATATCCATGCCATACAGCCCAAATCCTGCTAAAGCACCAATTATATCATTTCTATAGTCATAGTCTTTTTGGGGAACCCATCTACCCATCTTCATTGCTACGGCGAATATTTAACACCTGCCTGCCATATACTACTCAGGCACCTATCAATATTTATACGCTCATTACAAGCCAAGGGGAAACAGTTGCAGGTGCTGTTGGCCGACCTGCAAGTGGCGCCAGAATCGATATTAATGCAGTGGTGCTTAACCCATTTTCAACATCAACTATAGATTAAATCTACATTGCAATAGTCCCCAAAGAAGCATTTACGAATTTGCTTTTAGCAAGATTTGATTTCCTGCGACACAGAAATATAAAATTAATCTACACTTGGACATTTACGTGCATGTTGAGGTTTTTAAGCTCCATTTGTTCAGCCACATCGTGGTTGAAGCATAATTGAAAGTTATCATTAAATTTAATAATTGTCCAACCCGGGACAGGTCTTAAATATAGATTAAAGATTTAGAAATAAAATAAATATGTAGTCAAATCATTTGCAAAAATATTATTTAGTGCATAAACAAAAAAATTTATAAGGTATTTTAGATATTTTCTAATTTGTAAAGATGCCTGTATTAATCAGCTTAAGACTATGTCTAATGGAGATATTTGGAAAACATACCTCTATTATATAAACTATATGTATTTGGATAAATTATTTCTGTGTCAGGTTTATGGCTTAGTTGTCAGTTTTTGAAGCAAATCTGAAGAAATCAAATAGTAATTACTTCTATTACATTGTTGAAATATATATATATATTCATTGGTTTTTTCAGTAACTATTTCTATAAATTGAAGGTATTCTTCTAGACTTCCAGACTTACTAGATATAGTCTTACGATTCAGGAGATTTATGAATGCCTAAACATATGAATAAACTAAACCTACAACTGAAAGACTAGAAGAGTATCTGCCCACAGACTTACAAATGTACATACATATGTACATATGTACGTATAAGATAAAAGGACATCTTCAGTGTTGCGCATCGAATGAATCCAAGAGTGGGTCATTGAAGGGTTAAGGAAGAGGAAGAGGAAGCAGCAGCAGCAGCAGCAGAGGGGGAAGCTAATGCCAAACAAAATGCAGCAATATTTTGCCAATGCCTGCGACAGATTTTGTTTTGTGGGACGGCAACACCGGCTGTCAAGGTCAGTGGGCGCCAATGGTGACGATGACACTGTCTGGCCATATGCTTTAATTATATGGCGGGTGGCTCAGGTGTCAGCTATGCTTGATTGTGTGTGTGTGGGTGTGTGTGTGAGACTCAATCGAAGGACGGCAATAGCAACAACTACAAAAACAACAACAACAATCAATTGCAGACAGTTTCGGTTGAGTCAGCGATGGAAGGAGGGAAAGTGTGTCGTGTGGGGCGTGTGGTGGGCGGATGCTTGGGGGTCTGGCCCTGGGGTGGCCAACTGGCACGTGTCGTGTTTTCAATGCTCCTCGAAAAGAACAACAGAAAATAAAAATCAGCTGCACTGTGTAGCTTGCTTTCTCGCTCTGAGTGTGTTTGTTTGCTTGTGTATTAAAATGATTTGCACGCTAATAACAACACCAAAGACCCGACTGGGGCTCACCCCCTTTTTGTTTCCTTCCCTTTCCTTTCCATTTCTCAGTTAGTTTGCGGCTTGTGTGCACTTGTAATTGGGTTTCCGATTCCCAATGCGACTTTTAAAGTGGTTGAACGGCGCTCGCCGCACAGTGGAGAGCTTTAAACTCTTAATAGACATGTGGTTCCTCACAATTACAATTACAATCACAATCACCATCATCATCGCCATCTCCATCAACATCCTTGTAATTAGCCTAATTGCCAGTAATTAGCCAATTCATGTTTCTTGTTAATGGAGGTATCAGTAAAAAGTAACAATCGATAACTACTTATAAATGAAACTCTGCGATAAGTGGGACACTGTTTCCCATTTATAAATTGATTTCCTACGGCACCATTTAACCATAAATTGTACGCAGTCTCGATTATATCTATAGAAATTCTTATCAGCAGCGCATTTTTCTATTGGGGTATCCATTAAATGACTCAATCGCTTTACAAATATATGCTATATGTACATACATACATACATATGTACATGCCCCAGTTATGTGTGTTTTCAATTGTTTAGCCAGATCGAGCCAGATGCAGTCAGCCTGCAACAGTGGATACTGCAAACCAACAGACAAAAAGGTGATCTTAGATATTCAGAAACTTATTAATCGAGAACATTATATAGGCATTCAAAAGTTATGATTTCGGGATTGTTGCTTGAAAATAAAAAAAATTATGGTTTAAAATATTGCCACTGGTTGATGTAAATAAATGGGAGCATAGATTTAACGATTGATTCTTAAAGATCTAGCAAATATTCTATGGACTGTTCACAGCTGTTTTAAATTCAGAAATATTAAGTAAAATCTATGGGGCCAGGCAGAAAACGTGTTGATGAGAGCTTGCTGGATTAATGGAGCACAGAATAGTGTTGAAAAATACATTATGATGAGGGGGGAATTACATATTTAAAATTTCATGGAAAAAGTTAAAATTAAATAAGTAAACCTGAACTTATATTGTAAAGTTTCTAAAGATCCATATGCCAAGTGACAAGAGATTAATATTCTATAATATTAGAGCGACTTTATTTATTAATCAAGCTAAAACTGATAAATAGGCAAGTATAATAAACTACTCGTCACCCCATTCTCTCTCTTTTTATCTCTCTCCCCAAATCAGTCACGACTTAACACTAAACTTAAAAAATGTTTTGCTGAGAATATAGCTTGCCATAAATACTTTTCTGGAGATATCGCACTGTTCCTATAGCTGTAGTTTTAAAAGTTTTCATTGTTTTAAAATGAGAATAGAAATGTTTTTAGCGATTACATCTGTTAAGTGCTCGATAGGAATGAAAACATGTAGATTGTTGCATTTTTTCCAACTACTGCAGACGTCAACAACCTGCAGGTCGCTCCCCAGCTTGCCTTGTTACTTAAACAATTTACGCTTATGGGACGTGGGACTCATTGACGAGCAAGTTGATAGTAGTTGGTGCTGTTGTTGTTGTTGGTATAGTTGTAGTTCCCACACACACTTAAATATGCATATTCACACATTTGTGCATTTCAATTAAATGCCACAGACGACTTGTCACTCCACTAGCCGGCCAATGCTAGTTACTTGATACGCTTGATAAGCTTCCTCTGCTCCGTTGCCTCCTGATCAGATCAAAGGTTCTATTACGCGTGTGTGTCTGAGAGGGAGAGAGAGAGAGAGAGAGAGAGAGTGGAAAGTAGTGCAATAAATTGAATTTGATTGACAGACCGTTCAGCTAAACCATCCGCTTTTTATCTTAGAATTATTTGTTGCTTTGCGGTTCAGAAAACTGCCACAGAGTACAGTTTGTGTGAAAATGTCGGTATAGACGCGATCAGATTACAACTATGTACTTATGAACGCAGATATTTATTCTTCTTCATTTCTCCACTGTAGTAGTAGCTTATTGCTTGTTGAACTCATATTCAAATCTCGTAAGAACTAGTCTTATACCTTGTAACCGAAGGGCGAAAGCTATACTATATGTCCGTCTGTATGAACATAGTAAACTTTTGAGTAATAACTGCTAGAACACCAAACTTGTAATATAGACTTGTCTTATGCATACACGTGTCAAGCTTATTACAAACTTTATAGTCGTATGTATAATCATTATTTATATTAGCTGTAATAGGAACGATCGGTGGAAACTTTTTCTGTTTTTCAAGATATCTTTCCTTTATAGAGATATTCTAGACATGTTTGAAGGTATTCATAAATGTTTCTTATAATACTACTAATACATCATTTAGCTGCCATAGCAAATACTAAGAAGAACTCTGATCCCTAACGTGTTTAGGAGAGAGTTCTTCCCATCTGAGGGTCCGAAGCTTCGATCTTAGAACGTTCTCTGATGTGCTGAAAACTACTCTACAGCTCAATCTTTCTAACAAGAAAGCCATAAAATGTTAAAGACTTAGAGATCTAGTTGTGAAGTAGAAATTACAGCAACCAAAGAACAGCTATTTCAAGTCCCGCTCGATCATACTTATTTAAAACCGAACACAACAATGGAAGAAGAAAGCTGTTGAAAATTTTCAGGGTGACAAAAGATTTTGCTGCTCCTTTGCTAACAACAATAGTTTTTGGGTCGCGGATGATGAACAATAATGCTTCCTTTAGAACTGTCCATCCCTCAATTGGTCAAGTCGACAAGTAACTCGATTCATCAGTTCTATGTACAATATTCGACAGTTTTCGGTGATTAAATTTTCTTCTGTTATTTGAGATTAAAACTGTGATTAAGTTATTGGAGAACGGCGGAATGATTGACTTGATATTAAAATGCGAGCTTCGTCAGCTGCTGGTGATCGTGAGGCAGTGGAAAGGGGATTGCGGACGTCTTAGAACGTGAACCAAAGTCCTATATATGAGTCATTACAAAAAGAAAAACAAACAAATCCAAACAAACAGAAAGATATGATAATCAAACAAAGACAGGTTAAAAGGCACTATTAAAAGCAAATCAAAGTGAATCAGTTGTATATATTTTCGTCAATATTTGAACATTCTATGTACCGAAGGTGCCCTTCTGTACAAAGACCCCTCTTATATTCCGAGGAAGTGAAGGTAACTTCCACAGTTTTAGTTGTGAATTAATTGATTTTCATTTTGATTATATTAAATGGGAAATAATAGTTTGTAAAACAATTTTCAGTGCTTAGGAAACTTGCCGAAGTAAAAAAAATAGCACTTTCATAAATTACATGAAAAATATGGGCACATAGTACAAAGTGGACTAGACAATTGAGTACATAACTCTGCAGCTTAGGTCAGGTGAGGCCAGAGCAGTGACTGAGGGCAGTAATAACAGTTAAAGCTTAATTACATTGCCACTCATATAAACTGTTGCTCCACATGTTTTCGGAGGGAGCACAGTTCACAGCGCCAAATAAAGTTGTGGAGCCCTCTTTAAGCCCTAATTGAGCTTGGCCCGATGTTGCTAATGTTCGGAAATAGGCTACATAAGTCCGATATAGTGATCTGAATGGACAACTGTATAGCGAAATAAGCTATCAACTATAAATCGAGAAGTAACTTCAATATGTGTTTCCAAAGTAAGTTGGACTTTCTGGAAATATCCATATCCATTAGGTGATGGATCATTACTGATTTAACCTGCTGATTGATGGAAGCCGACTTATCACACAAAAGTAACACTATGTTTGTGCTATCGGTAGAAAAATGACGATCGAAATATAACGTTCTGTTTTAAATTTTTTTCTCAATAAAGACTTATTATATGGTTCATCGGATTATTCTATTAAAAGGGGTTTATGTTACAACTGTGTACACATTGTAAAAGTTTCCTATTCACGATCTTTCAAGTTTATCGGGTCAATTTTAAATTATTAATTAATATTAAATTATTAATTTTCCAAGGTATATGTATCGGAAGAAGCAGACAAAACATGCACCTGTCAGCTTGACATTCCGATTTAACCAATTTGTCGTAAATAGTGAGCAGTGCACGGCGATCTAAGATGGCAATTAATTTGCTCAGCAGTTAACCAATTTAAGCTTTATTTTATTACCAGAGTCTAACTAAATTATCATAATGGAATTATTTAAACCATTCATTTTCTATATTTGCAGCTGGGCAAGCAGCTTCTGCCATCGCATTTCGACGCTTATTGGCCTCCGCTGGGAGTTGCGCGGCAAGGAGCATTTGGAAAAGGATCAGGCCTGCATTATAGTGGCGAATCACCAGAGTTCGCTGGATGTGTTGGGTAAGTGTGTGGTTGGTTAACACATACTACTTGTATATTCTTGGACATACTCACCCACAACCCTTCCATTTGTGATGCAGGCATGTTCGATATTTGGCCCGTGATGAATAAATGCACGGTGGTGGCGAAGCGTGAACTCTTCTATGCGTGGCCGTTTGGTTTGGCTGCTTGGCTGGCCGGCCTCATCTTCATAGATCGGGTGCGCGGTGAGAAAGCGCGTGATACCCTGAATGCGGTGAATCGGCGTATTAAGCAAAAGCGCATAAAGCTGTGGGTGTTCCCAGAGGGGACGCGTCGCAATACTGGAGAGCTGCACCCCTTCAAGAAGGGTGCCTTTCACATGGCCATCGATGAGCAGATACCCATATTGCCTGTAGTATTTAGCTCCTATTGCACATTCCTGAACGATAAGAAAAAGATACTCAATGCTGGACACATTGTGATCACAACGCTGCCTCCAGTTAGTACGAAGGGACTCACCAAGGACGACATTGACACGCTAATGGAGCATGTACGTGGCCAGATGCTGGAGACATTCAAGCAATCATCGGCGGAGACTTTGCAGCGCTATAAGCCGCACAAGACAACGCCGCCAACAACAGTTAATGGTGCTGAGGCAATGGTCGCCGCTGCTTCCGCATCCGGCTATGCGCCGCTGCATGTGAGCGCCTCTTATGAGACATACAAGGCGACGGCCACAAAGGCGACCATGCAATCGCTGAAGACCCTGTAGGTGTTGCTCAGGTGTGTGCTCAGGTCAGCTTTATAGCATGGAAGTGGAAGTGCAAGTGTGCAGCAGATGGATGATATATTGCACGACGCTAGCTTTACAATATTTTAATCTATTCTAACAATTGGCTCGCCTGGCGGTGACTGCATGTACTACGAGCAGCGCCACCAAGCGGCAAAACAAATTGCGACTGTCAAAATTGTATTTTTTTGTTTTTTGTTTTGTATTTGTTTTGTTTTTTTTTTTTTAATTAAGCAACACATACCAAAAACGTGAAAACGCTAAAAATAGAGCATGTAGGTATATTTATATGGACAGCGGCTAAAGATATGGCTAATATAGCAATTAAATCTGATCATATCTGATCTGAAATCATACAAAATACAAATAAATGTTGACGAAAATAGGGAGGGCTGGGGAGAAACATTTTTAACGAATTTTTAACACACAAATGCAAAGCGTCTCTATTACTATTATTATACTAATTATACTTTTTTTCTACACTAAGACTTATCCAAGAATAATTCAGAAATAATCGTATTAAATAATTAGACACAACAACCAACCACGTATTACAAACTTAATATTCTTCAATTAAGTTAATTAATTACGCCATTTTGTATTCAAAATGTGTATTTTCATAGACATTTTCAAACTTGTAATCGCAACTCACATTATAAATGGACGATTTTGGAAATATTGTACAGACTTTGGTTCATCGAAATTCATTATTTTGGATCCCATTGTAATTCCATTGAATTTTTGTTCAATTGGCTAACAACAAGTACGTCTATAGGCAATACTACTATATATATCTTTCTGTTCGAGTGTTCTCTATTGTGTATTATATATTAATGTGTTAACTCTTTAATGTAAATACGAAGAGAGCAGCGGCTTAGTTAAATAACAAATCAAAATAAATAAATAACTTAATATGATATTAATTGTGTATGTGTATTTAACATTTTTGACACATTTTTTGGGGGATGGCAAACTCAGCTCCGGAGGTTTCATTTAATTTGTATCATATGGAGAAGAAGAGAATGTTTAGGATTGTGCTTATGGCAGCTAAATAATAATAGGCATGTAAAGCATATAAAAATAGAGTTTGATTTGGGATTTGTGTCCATAGCTAGTAAGCCTGTGGAGGTTTATTTTAAAATCGTTACCGATCATTTTCACTACTTTCGAGTCCATTTTAACAACAAAACTTAGCTTCCTTTCTGACATGGCTTTGGCTAATGCTTGGTTGGTTAAGAAATCAATCGGTTTATTTAATGATCGCAGTATGCGACTTTAGTTTCATTCTATAACTCGTCAAGAGCAGTTTTAGAAGCGTTGTGAAATTAATAGCCACCAGTATTGTGGCAAGGCCGAACTCACCACAATATTTGTGGGATGCGCGAGCTCACCATCAATAGCAGCGCATAAAAGTATGCAGCATAAAATTTATGGGAAATTAAGGACTGTTTAGACGCTATTTCGCCAGTAGAGAATATTTGATGAGAAAGAAATTTCTTGTATTATCCCAACCAGGAGTTCAATTATTTTATTTATTTTATTCGTTTGCATGCAGATAATAGCATGATATATACTTGTATAATAATATGAAGAAGTCCATCCTCACTTCTGATGTTTGATAATTCTGCCACTGCTTATGGCCCCAGTGCTCCTACAAGCACTGCCACCGAAACTACTACTCTGAAAGGTTTTGGAAAGATATAAAACTATAATGTAGTTTAAATTATTCAAACTAAGATTCTGTATACATTCCTATAAGATCTTCATGAAAAATTGTCGGTACATCATATAAAATATTTAACTTAGTTGTTGATTTTTTTGTAGTTTTTCCAAAGACAAAGTTGAAATATATTCATATCAGGTTTACTTTCGTTTGCTATGGATATTTGAGTCCAGCATTAAGAATTTAATAAGAAATGGTCAGGACTGTAGCAGGGGCAGAATTCGATTACAAATTTTATAAAGCTCTGATTAGTCGCACAAAATTTCTTAATGAGGTCCATAAAATAATACTGAGCAGCTTATAAACAAAATTAATATAATTAAATCATTAACCTTTATCACAATATGGGGGATTTGCAGCTGTTTCCTAATTTTTTATTTATTCATAAAAAAAAACACCATTCGATAATTTAATTGTAGGATTTAAATATGAATTAAATGCAATATTATTTATGTCTGAATATTCATAGCTTCAATATCATTGATGACCAATTGACGATATAGTTGCTAACTATTGGAAATTCTTGTGGTATGTAGAGGACTAAGCTACGGCAATATCATATCACATTTTATGTATCATATAAGATATAGCCTCGTATTGTTGCTCGTAAGTGCGGAACTAAAAAGTTGGGTAGCATTATTTTTAAAATATAAAATGTTATTCTGCTACAGAGAAATACATTTTTACAAATTTTTTATTTGCAATCAAAGATCCTTTCAATCTTCCTGTTGAACACTTCATTGAGAATATTTCTTTGGTCATTTTGTGGTTATTGTTGAGGGGCATAAAATAATACTAAGAGAATATTTTTGAGCTCATAAATTGCATTATGTCTTTATCGTTTAACCATTTATCTTCACCATATAACCATACATCTTGGTTTCTGACTTTTCCCACAGCTCTGTGTTTGTGATTGTCATTGCTAACATAAAATCTTAGAAGTAGGTCGGTTTTAATAAATAAAATTATACACGCTTGTGCTAAATCGAAGTGTTTGAATATTATAGGTTTAATTCTGTGGGGTCCATTAGGAGCATGTGTTGGAAATCAGTTACAGACAAGAGATTTTGGGCTGATCAACTCTTTTGCCCTAAGCCACACACACAAACACACAGACACAGACACACACACAGTACTCACTCACTCACTCGCATGTGTATTGATGGGTTGACTGTTCAATAATAATGCGCTGATGCCATTAATAAAAAAAATTATGGGGCGTTTACAAGAGGTTGTCATGACAGTCGTCTGACATTTATGCAATTTTATGTGCGCCTCTCACAAAGCGACGACCATGGGCGGCCATGGGCTGCACAGAACCCACCCCACAAAACCCTGGTCGGGCAATGACAAGTCTATCAATTTTTCACACACTTATGACGCGCCGATCACGATCACGAACACGATGACGACGACGGTGACGGTGACGAGGAAAGGCTGCAAAAGGAACAACCAGCCAAGAAAGGAAACAGCAACTAAGGTGCTCACATTTTCCAAGCGATTAAAATACATGTCCTACCTTTTCTGTCCTGTCACAACTTGCTAAAGGGTACAGGCCGGGACAGACCTGGGCTGGCTGGCTGACTGGCTGACTGGCTGGCAGGGAGAGGGGCATGCAAAATGTTAGCTTCATTGCACAATTTTCGCGCATATCGAATGGAATAATTTTCACAATTTAGGAAACGTAAACGTCATGAATCGCAAAATGTCTTAAATTACAAATTTTATAACAACTTGAGTTGAGTTGAGTTTGAGGTAAGAGCTGTGTGCGATCGATCCATTGACTGATTGAGGAACCCTTCTAGCCCTTCCATCATCAAGTTTGGTTGCTCTCTTTCCATTTTCCTTATCATAAGTTTGCATCTGTCTCAAATATATGTATGCATATACCTTCACGTATAGTTTATGTAGTCGTGTCGTATTCCAATTGAAATTAACTTCCTAAATGGCAGCGGCATTGCTGGCTAGTTGAAGAGCCACTTAGACCTTAGAGGGAAGAAATCTTATCTTAAGTGTTGATATCGAGTGTTGGCAAAAATAATAAAGAGCGGAAATGTAGCGAAATAAATTAGTCGATATCAATACATCTCCACAAATGCATATTTTCAGAGTTCCACTTCCCATATGAAAGGGAAAATTCCTTCATACAATGCTACTAAAATTGTTTGGGGAAAAATATCAGTGATGAAAATTCCACAAACATGCTTCCATGGCAGCTAACCCTTTTGAGCTAACTAGAAGCAATGCTATTAATGCTAATATAAATGGCACACACTACGATCAAAATTAGTATTAATGTTCAAAATATAGCGTAAAGGAAAAATGCGTTTTGGTGTCCTTTTGGTTTCAATGAAGTATTAAAGTAATTGAAGTATTTTTTTAGCCATCTTCGCAATTTCTAACCTGGAATGGCTGTGAAGCGGACCATAGCTTGCCGTAGTGCCTAATAAATTGTCCCCCACTGAGTCTGAGATTCCATTTATTCCCTCTTTTTTGTACATATTTTTTATATTTTTAAAATTAGTTTTCATCTAATTCTAAGTTTCCTTTCTTTGTTAATTTTTTTCATTTTATTTGGTAGATCTATAGATGCCTCTGACCACACTTGGCTGTGTGTCGGGGGCATAGCTAGCCTAAAGAAAATAATAATCGCCCACCAAGTCGGAGGTGTTTATTAGATATTTTTGTAATTTGATTAGATACTTAGGCTACTTAGGCTTTCCTAGCTTGTAAAGCATTTTTATAACAGTCACTCTTTGTTGACATTAAAATATAATAAATGTATAAATAAAACAATAAAAATAAGTATAGAAACAGAACAGATAACATTAGGGCATAGCCTTTCTTACCATATATTGGGCAGCTATTTTCCAATTTCTACATTGGGCCATCATTTTGGGCATTGGGTAGTAGTTCGTTTTATGAACTTCAAAAACCAACAATCGGCGCTTCTATCTAAATGACAATCTAACGATCCATTCAACCATCCATCGATCGCGCTCACAAATTAAGAAATTACAGCGCAGAAAGCGTTGCATGTGGCAATTAAAAAAATTAAAATGTTTTACCGATAAAAAAAAAGAACAGACAACAGACAAAAACACTAAATAAAACAAACTTGAGCTAGTGGGATAGGATATCAATACGAGCAATAAAGGACATCAATGAGAATGGAGGGTTGCAGCGTCAGCTGGACATTAAATAAACATGCATGCATATCTGTTTACATGCATGTTACGAGTACTATATAAGTATATAGTGTCGTGTACCTACACAAGTATATTGAGAAGTGTAGAACAATTTAATGCAATTAGTGCGATATGCGAGCGGGATGCGACAGGCTCGGACTGACCGATTCGGACTGGTACGGATGGTTTGGGCCAATTACATAATTACAGATAGCGCGGGCCAAACACACACACACACACACATACATACACATGTGAGTCTGATATGCAACGCGTGTCGCATCAGGGGTGGTGTGCGGGTGTTTCCTCTGTCTGTCAATTGTGTGTGGCATGCAACGCCTACTCCTCAGGCGCATGTCCCTTGCACTTCCTGGCATATACGAGTAGCATGTATGTACGCATGCTTATAGGCATATTTCTGCATTGCAATTTCACTTGACTGATTAATGATATTAATCCCATTAGCCAGCATTTTAAGCCCAAGAACCCAACACTGTGAAATGCAATCAACTGCAATAATCGCGAATGAAATTGCAACAAAAAAAAAGAAGAAATAATAACATTAGCTAATGCGTCTGCCACCACCACCACCACCACGAAAATGATTGGCTCAGCCTCTCAGCTAAACTCCACAGAATGGTGCCCCAAGCATTTTTCAAAATCCGAAACCAAATCGAAGAAAAAAAAGAAATGAAAATGGCAAGCTCATAGTTTCCCAGCAGCTTTAGAAATTCCCAGCCCATACAGATTTCCCATCCTCCGATATAATGACGATGTGTTAATTTCATTTGATTGACATGTGTCCGCTGTTTCGTTGCCTGCCCCGAATTCTACGCGACTGGACTGCTTTGTTTTAAGTTAGAAAATTGAGAAAAATCATGCCAAGGAATGCTGGCATTAAGGTAAGACACGCGGACTGTCATGTAAATCTCATATTTGGGCAGCATGCCAACACGCTGTCTGCCTGCCTGCCTAACTGCCAGCCTACCAGCCTGCCAGGCTGTCC